GCTGGCTTGGGACAAAGGCCTGCTCTCTGGTTTGGTTTTCCTTCTGCCTCAGAATTCTGAGTCAACACTCTTCTATCTCTCTTCCTGTATTTTAAATGAGAGTCATGGCTATAAGTGAAAAAAGCCCAACTCTCAAACTCCACACTGTCGGCACAGTAGGTGTCTCTCCGTCCCTGGGCTGGGCCTGCTCTGTCTTCCCGCCATGTTCCTCCAGGCTCTTTCCTCCTGAGGCCCAGAGAGTGGAAGACACTTCCAGTATCTCAGTGGCTGTGCCTGATCACCGGTGCCACACAAGGTAGCATATGGAGGCTGGTGATGTGGGTGGTAAAAAAGACTGACCAAGACCAACGTGAAGAAGGAGTTAATTAGGAAGGAGAAGATAACACTGCCAGAGAGGGGCAGGTGAAGGGCAAGAGGGCTGTGCCCCCGAGGAAGGCCAAGGGTTCCTTGAGCATAAAGATAAAGCTAAAGTGTGAGGCACACAAGGGAACATGAGGGCAGGCAGGACAGGTGTTCTCTCCTCACTCCGGCCATGAGGTACATTATCCTTGCAATAGGACACTGGCCAGGGGCACAGGGTAATGTGACAGTCACTCTATGGCAGAAAAGAATGTTAGCAGCTGTTCTCCTGTTCCGTTTTGGAACAGGTCAGTTTGAAGCAGATCATGTGACTCAGCCAGTCTTTGGCCAGGGCAATGTAGCACTCTTCAGGTTGGCCAGGCACAAGCCACCAGGCCACCTGTTGAATTGGGGTGGAGTCTGTGGGGACCCTGAGCTTGTGAGGCAAGTGCCAGAGAGGTGATCCCCTTGCGGGGAAAAAGAGATGCCATTCCTAGATGGAGAGTGGTGGTCACAGCCAGAGACAGGGAGTGCCAATGTGCCCTGGGTTTGCTGTGAGACCTTCGGCAGGGTACATCACCTCCTCAAGTGTCTGCTTCCTTACCGCAGGCAGAAATGATGGGCTGAAGGCGCTGAGATCCCAGCAGCCTTGAATTCTATTTGACTGTGGGCTGTGGCTGCTGCCGTGCTCCTGCTGTGCCTTGTAACACCATAGCTGTGCCTGCTCTCTGTAGAAGTCTAACATCAAAACTGTCCAACTGTAGCTAGGCATGGTGGTGCGTGCCTATAATCCTAGCACCTCGGGAGACTAAGGCAGGGGGATTGCAAGTTATAGCCCAGCCTAGGCAATTTAGCAAGATTTGTCTCAAAATAAAAAGTACAAAGGGTTTGGAATGTAGCTTGGTGTGAAAGCTCTGGGTTCACTCCCCAGTACCACAGGACATAAAGTCTAACCGCTCTAATGTCACCTCTGAGAGCACGTTCCTCTTAGCATGCGGGTTGCTGGAGGACAAATGCTCAAATACAAGACCGACACTTCTTCCCCTACAACCTTTGGAGTCTTCTATGTGTCTTTGCCTTCCTCAAGTCCCTCATCTTGAACTATCACAGAATTTGTGTCTTTTTTCTCCCTTAGCCTCATCCTTTCCCTTTGTCTCCTCGTGTCTCTCTCTGTTCCTGTCTGGAACAGAACCCTGCCAGTGGTATCACGGCCAAGGTTGGGGACGGGCCCTTCCCTACCAGTCCTGAGCTGCTGGCAGCCTGCTGCTGCACTGCCTTGACAGCAGGGGACCAGCCAAGTGAGGCCCAGCTCCTGACCCACAGAAACTGCAAGAGCTCCAGAAACCATGCCAAGAAACAGAGATCCTGGGCCTCCCAACCTTGTTTCTGGACTACAAGGAAACAAAGCTAAGGTTTTGCTCATCAGCATAGTAGGTGTTTGATTTTTCTTCTAGCAGACAAGCTGTTAGCCAGCATGGAACAAAGATGTGCATATAGTTGCCCCTCAGTGTCTGGAACTTGGTTGTGGGACCTCCCAAATGTGTGGATGATCCAGTCCCTTAAGTAAAATGAGATGGCATTTCCATATAAACTATACACATCTTCCCACATTATTCAAATCTATCTCTACATAACTTATAGCAGGGAACACAATGTAAATACAATGTACTAGGGGTTTTTTGTTGTTTTTCTGGTACCAGGGATCGAACTTGGGTCCTTGCACTTGCGGAGCAGGCGGCGGAACCACTGAGCTAAATCCCCGGCCCCTCAGTTGTTATACTATGTTGTTTAGGGAATACAGACCAGAAAAAGTCTGCGTACATGTTCAGTACAGACACAATTTTTTTCTCAATATTTTTGACTTGTGTTGGCTGAATCTACCATGGATTCAACCCATGGACATGGACAGCTGACTCCGTGTGTATGTGTGTGTGTAAAAGTGAGAGAAGGAGAGACAGATTTATCTTAAGAACTTGGATCACAGGCTCACCTTCACTGCAGACCAGCTGTGCAAATCTGAAGACCTCTAGACTCCCTTTGGATTCACAGGTTTCTAGATGACTCAGAATTTGGTCTCCAGGAAAGCACTGTACTTAAGGTTACAGTGTTCTTATAGCCAAAAGACACAAATTAAAATCAGCTGGAGGTAGAATGTCCGGGACAGAGTCTGGGAGGGGCTCACACGGAGCCCTGGGCTCCCTCCTGGTGCAGTCCTGGATGCCATCAGCTCAGCCACGTGTACCACAGCTCATGCACAACTTTGCCAGCCCTCAGTGGCCAGAGATTTTCCTGGGGCTTGGTCAGGTGCTGCCTGTGCAGTTGATCTTCAGTCTCTAGTTCCTCCTGGAGGTCAAGCTGGAGACTTTTAGTCTCCAGTTCTTCCAGCCAGTCAGGGACCCCAGGAAACAGAGACATTCCTGACATAGAGGATACTCTATGGCCCAGAGATCACCTCCCAGCAGTCAAGGGCAAAGGCCAGACCTGTGTCTGGGTGAGATGAATTTTTCACTCCAAATGTGCATGCTGCAAAGTCAGACCAAAGGTGTGGGGTGGTTTGGGGCTTAGAACCTGGGCAAAGGTCTTGCAAGCCTCCAGCTCCGGGCCTGGCTTTGCTATTTCCAAGTTTAACAATCTTGAGCAAGTGGTTTAATTGGTTGATGCCCACCAGCCAAGGGCCACAGGAACTTCCCTGGTACTTGAACAATTTGGGGTTTATTGGTACTTGCAGCATCTAAGGAGATGGGGGTATGGGGAATGGGGTATCATCAGTAAGTGGGTGGGTGGGAGGGGCTTATGGAAGGATTTGGGCTTGGGAAAGGTGATTTGAGGGAATGTGCAAGGAGGGAAGGTTTGCTCTGGATTGGGTGCTATTGGGAAGTAGGGGTAATTCTACAAAAGGTGTGTTTATAATTTTTATCTAAGAGGCAGAGACACAAGACAGTGCTGAAATAAATGATAAAAGAAACAGTGGTCTTTTACACGAAATGGGAAAGGGCACCTTTGGCCAGTTTGGTGGTTTCACGATGATCTTGACTTTTCCACCATATTTCTGTCACTCTATCAGAGTTATACCATCACCCTGTGAACACCGGCACTCTGTGAACAGCCGAAGGGGACATCATGGCCCCGTGGCAGAGCCAGGTGGGCTCCCAGCAGCATGAATCAGGGTTTCTTCCTGTCCCACCTCTGGGGTTCTCACCACTGATGACATGGAGATAATAACATGAGCTAATATATTAGCTGTGAGAATGATGGAAACTAAAGTAAAAGGCCTAGCGTACAATAAGATGCAGTAGCCAGTAAATTTCATCACAGTTGTTGTTAAAGAGTTTGTGATAAAGTAGAGGAAATGGGGAATCTAAATAAAGCCAAATACAGAAGCAGAGGAAAAAGATCCTGAGTAAGGGGATATCGGGTGACAATGAGGGTGGTCTCTGAGCCAACATCTGTCCTGATCTCCCCACTGGGACCCCCACATCAGGCCAGAGCAGCCAGAGTTGTGTGTGTGTGTGTGTGTGTGTGTGTGTGTGTGTGCACCTATGAGTGTGAGAAGTGTGCCAGCCATACCTATAAGGAATTATATGTCATAGTCCAGTGGGATTGGTTCCAGGAAGGCAAGATCAATTAATGCAAAACACACTAATAGAATACAGGCCAAAACCTACATGTTGTCTCCACAGTCACAATGTACACACACAAAGTGATCTGACAAAATTCAATAGTTTCATGAAAAAAAACCCTCAAAACACTCAATGAACTATGAATAGAAGAGAACTTCCTAAACCTAATCAAGAGCACAGAAGACAAACCCAGAGTTAAATGGGAAAAGACCAACACCTTCCTCTGGCAGCAGGAATGAAACACTTGTGTCTGTGATTTCATGCTATGCTAGAGGTTCTAGTCAGGGGAACCAGGCCAGAAAAATGGAAATAGAAAGAATTCAGAGGAAAAGTATAAAAGAAAGCCATCCTCATTTGCAGATGACATGTTCTGTATGCAGAAAATTCTAAGGAATCCACAAAAAAGAGTTAGAGCTAACAAACAAGCTTAGCAAGATTGTGGAAAACAAGATCAAAATACAAAAATAAAGTGTGCTTCTATACAACAGCAATGAACAATCTGAAAATGAAATTAAGAAAATAATTCCATTTATAATACCATAAAAACCCCCCAAAATATTTAAGAATAACCAGGTGTGGTGGTACATGCCAGTAATCCCAAGAGGCTGAGCCAGGAAAATTGCAAGTTCAAGGCCAGCTTGCACTACATAGCAAGACCTTGTCTCCAGAAAAGAAAGAAGAAGAAAATACTGAAGAATAAATTTATCTAAACAAGCACAAGACTTGAGACTTGTACACTGAAAGAAGGAAGAGGAAAAGAGAGTGTGATTCCTGGTGCCTGAAGCCACCTCAAATCCATTCTGCTCACACATGAGAGTGGTTACTTGTGAAGACTTATCTGATATGGTCAACTGCACCCCCCCTCCCCGTGCTGGATATTGAACTCAAGGCCTTTGCTTTGAGCTACATCCCTCATTTTTTGATTGGTTGATTGCCTGATTGATTGATTGATTTTTCCCCCATTAAGTTTATTGGTACATTTTAGGTATAAAATACATTTACATACATCATTGGGATCTTGCACCATTACATGAGTATTGATTGATTGATTGATTGATACATAGTCTTGCTAAGTCACTAAGTTGACCAGCCTGAGCTTGCAATCCTCCTGCCTTAGCCCTCCAGAGTGCTCGGATTACAGGTGTGCACCTCCATACCCAGCTAAAATGCTAGCCTGAGGAAGAGTTTATTTCCAACCCTCAAGCCGGCTGTGAACATCAGGGTGTAGCCCACTCTGAGCGGCAAGATACACTCCAGAGGTGGCCTGGGGTGGGAGAGCTGGGAACAGCAGCCAGGGAGGGCGATCACTGTGCTCAGCAGCAGGTAGTTAAGTCCCCAGGTCCTGCATGGTCACAGTGTGGCCCTCAGGGTCTTGGGGCCCCTGAGAAGCTTCACACCTGGGCCCCTTGAGGCCTGGCCTCTGGGGCCCTATGCTTCAGAGCCATCCTCAAGGCCTGCAGGATGGTGTCCTGGCTGTTCTGCAGATTGTAGTCATTCAGTTGCAGCAGGTGGTCAAAGTCTTCCTCCGAGTAGGTCATGTTGAGCAGGAAATAGGGTGTGGTGGTCTTGTTGAGATCCACTTGGCCAGCCCAGAGCTCTTCGGGGCTGCGCCAGACACCTGTGCAGGGGTGGGAGGGGTCAGGAGCAGGCCCAGAGGCCTCCATCACTGGACAGGACTGAGCTGTACTCAGGGACTGGGGTGGGGCTGCTCCCCATGGAGGCTCTTCAATTTCCTCCCAGCTTTCCATGTCTTGCATGTGGGTGGCAGGGTACTATTCTGGGATAGGAGGACTTTCTTGTTTCCACATTCCGGACAGCACAACACTTGACCTGCTATCTGAACTACATCACCCCAGGTAATGTGGAAACAGCCAGAAGGAAGTCAATTGGGCTAGTGCCTGGATTCCCAAAGCTCACGGTGGAAACAAGGAGACTTTGGCTATGCGAGAGCCCGTCTGTTGAGAGAGGAAAGTTCTTTAGAATTCCAAGGTGTGGGGTGAGCATATTCAAAGTTACACTGCAAGATTTGGAATCATAGCAGGAGCTGGGAATTATGCACTAAGGTGGAAATTAGTTTTTCCTCATTCAAAGGAGATAAAATTCTGGCAGGCTAGTGGGAAGGCAGGATAGGAAGGAATATGAAGAGGATTTAGATTTGGGGCCCCCTGAAGAGAGGTGCAGCTCCCTGAGGAGCCCCAGCCTGGGCTGGGCAGGAGGCCAACCAAACCTCCATGGAGCAGCAGTGGAAGAGCATGGGGGTGCCTCAGGGGAGTGGGGAGGGGCACAGGAGGCTGCAGTCATAACAGGGAAGACATCAGGGTGGCAAGATGAGGCTGCTAGCCATAGGCTAGGCCCAGACCTGTGGGCACTGGCCGCTGAGGCTGGCGGACACGTCCAGAGCCTGTCCTGGCCTTAAGCCTTCCCTGGGCGGATGGGGAGAGGCTGCCTCACCAGGGGTGGAGTGATCCTTGAAGGAGACATTGACCAGGGGGAAGTAGAGCAGGACTGGGGCCTCTGGGCAGGTGGGGTCCGCAAACAGGTAGCACTCCCTGGGCTGGCATCGGTCCTCAGCACTGATCTCCACGTGGGGGAAGTGCAGCCCCTGGGTCCTACAGTACAGCTCAGCCTGCTGCAGGGCCTGTCAGGGCAGAGGGGACATAGTCACCCCAGCTCTGTACTCTAGAAAATGCCAGATTGGCTCTGGCCCCAGCTCCCACCCTCAGCATCTCGACAAGAGCCTGGTTCTGTCTTGCGTGTGCCAGGAGGGAGTCTGAGGACCCTAGCAGGTGAAACCCTTAGGTGGGTTCCAACCCTCCCCACTTGTGGTCACTGCTGGGTGATTCAAGTCCTAGAGCTCAGAGGGCATCGGTAGGGGTCAAAGTGCCCACCCTGCACTGCCCCACCCGAGTCCCCAGGGTAGGTGAGAGGCTGGACTGGAGATGCCAGGGGCCTCTTCCACCCGGCCCAGTGGTTCCTCTGCAGGGCAGGCATGGCAAGCGCCATCCTGTTCATCTGTCCTTGGGGTCCCGAGCCCCAGCACCAGCCCTGGTCATCCTCCTCCCCTGGGGACATGGGAGATATGGCTCAGGGGCCCTGCTGCGTGTCTCTGGCCCTTGGCCTGGTTAGGCAGGGCTCTGGGGTTCCCATGGGGCAGCCAGGGGCACCTCAAAGTGCGAGGACAGGGAGTAGCCGAAGTAGAGGATGAGGTCTAGCCTGCGGCCTGGCCGGAACATGGAGGGATAGCTGTTGTTGATCAAGTAGCCAGCGTCCACCAGGCAGAGCTGGGGTTGCTGGGGGGTCAGCTGGCTAGGGGTGGAGTCCGACTGGCAGTCTGGTGGGAAAGGCGGTGACAGTTAGAGGCAGCCACCTGCCATAGGCAGCGCCCCCCTTTCTGGCCACGTTCACATCCACGTCCCTTTTTTACCTTTGCCACTCCCTGGATGCCCAGGCCTCTCCAAGGCCTCCCACTGGGACCTTTCCCAGACTGTTCCAGAAATGGATGCTGTGACCCCCAAGGCTTCTGCCCGTCAACAGCCATGACCCACACCCATCTGGGAGTCCGGGCTGCTATGGGGACACAGAACCTTAGTCCTCACCTGCCCAGGTAGAGAAGTCTTTCTGGCCACTGTAGCCCTGGTGTAGCTGGAGGCCATGGAGGAAATTGGCACCATGGTGGCAGAGTGGTCTCCCTGTCAGGACCCCCTTAAATGCCCGTGCCAGGGCTGTTCCAGGCTGCAGCCATGAGGCCTCCGTCCATAAAGAGGTCCTCAAACAGTCCTCAGGCTCCTCTGCAGCCGGAGAAACAGGCACTACTCCAGTGAGGGGCTCAGAAATGCAGTCCTTCCCGAGATGCCACCCCATGACCCTCTCCCACCTGTGCTGTGTATCTCCTCCTTGACATGCTGTTTCCACTCCTCACCAGACCAGGCCAGGTTATACCAGGTGTCCATCAAGTTCAGGGAGAAAATGTTGCTCCAGATAGCTAAAGCCAAATCCCCAAAAAGGGCAGCCCTCAGGCCCCGTGTCCTGTCTTTTGACCCCGGGAAGCCCTGGCCCCCAAGCCTGGTGCTGATGGGAAACTTAGGGGGAAACGGTGCTTCCAGCAATGGCTCCGCCCTATTGTCCAGACCCACCCCTCACCCCAGGGCTCCTCCCAGACCCGTGCAGCAAGGATCGGGAAGCTGCCTGGCTAATGCCTTCAGAGTGAGCACCCTCACCTTCCAGAAAGCAGATCGGGGACTCAGGGAGCCTCCTCATCAGTCGCCCCATGAAGAACTCGGAGCCGAAGAGCTCAGGAGGCACAAAAGCTCCGTACTTCAGGAACCCAACCTCATAGGGGGTGAACTCGACCCACTCTAACGGGGTAAGAAGCAGGCCAAGAATGTGAGGAGTAGGTTGGAGGAGCGTTGGCTCTGGCCAGGGCCAAAGATACTGCCTCCCCCGATGGGCAGGCCTCAGCCTTCCTGCTGCCAGGCACCAACTCAGCAGAGAGGAAAGCAGGCCCCTGGGGGACCCCTCCCTCCCACCGCATGCTCCTAGGACGCCATGCTGCCCTGGCTGCCCTGGGTCCACCCACAGCATTTCGGGCACCCACAGCCATCCCTGGCTGACTTCCGTGGAGACCCCGGGGGTGGGTGGACCTGAGGTGTGTGTGCAGAGGACAGAGTGGACAGGACCATACCCTTGAAGTGGAGGGTGTCCACAGTGTCCTCTTTGACATTGAGGCTCAAATAGAGGGGCAGAGGGTTCTGACCCCGCTCCAGTGCATCTCTCTGTCCTGAGAGCGTCTGATCCGCCACCTGGGTTTGGAGGGACGAGGGCCTGGTGAGGTGGGTGCACTTTCAGGATGGCAGCTCCTCAGGAAAGGGACAGGGCAGGGACACAGATGGGGGTGAGGAGGCAGCTGCCCCTTTGCACTTTGGGGAGGTGGGGTGTACAGCCAACTCTGCCCAAGCCCCCACCAAGGCTGCCATTTGGGGCTGTGCAGGCTGGGGCCTATGCAGCTCGAGCCACACATGCCAGTGTCCCTCTGCCCACGTCCTGGGCTTCAGAGCCCATCTCTATGGGGTTCTGGTGGAGCAGGTGAGGGGGGCACCAACACACAGAGAGGGCGCCTGCACACACATGCACACACGAACACTGCTGTCCAGAAAGCACACACAATACTCCTCAGTGGGTAGGCAGGGCTAGACTCCTAGAACACACACCTGCTTGGTCTTAGGGTCACCTGGGGAGATTTTTTTTTCAAGAAAGACAAATTCCAAAGCAACTTCTGATAGGCTGGGTCTCATTAGAGAGCTAGAAATGTATATGTATATTTATGTACATATATTTAATCTGCTTTCTAAGTAAAACAGCTGGAAGGACTGCTGTGGCAGGTTAGGAGTCCCCTAGGACTCACACTTTGTAGCTCACAAAGCCTGTGACAAGGATGACACATTGTACTGCCCTGACCCAAACCACCTGAGGCTGACTCCCTCAGCCTCCTTGCTGAGACCAGCTCCAGGCTGGAGGGGAGCCCCGTGCACCTCTGCTTCAGGATGGACAGAGGCCTTTTTGTACCTTTTGAACAGAGGGAGCTACTGTAGAGCCTGGAATTTTACTGAAGAGAAACTGAGTAACAGAGGACAGAATAAACCACAGCATGCAACCTCATACTGAGTGCAGTGGGGCGGGGTGGGGGGCCAGAAAGGAGGCATATCGGGTAAGCACTCTCAAGGGCCAGAGACTTGGAGGGCATCAGCTGAACCTAGATGGGGCAGCCAGTCCTGTGTGAATGGAACAGGGTGCTCAGGAAAAGCCTGGTGGAACAGGGGAGAAAAAAGTTCACTACCTGTATGAAGAAAGAAAACACACCAGAAAACACACACACACACGCACACACACACACACACACACACACACAAACTAACCCTTAGTCATATGAGATTTAAATTCTGGCATTCAAGTCCTAATTGTAAGAAACAAATTTTTAAAGCTTATGTAAGAATATAGAGAGAGGAATTGTATAACCTTGGCAGGAGGAAAAGGGAGGCTCCCCAAAACACACATTATAAAGGAGAAAATGATAAATAAGATTATATGAAATTATGCATCAAAATAATCATAGCTAGTAAAGAGTTAAATGCAAACTATACAAAAATTCTTAAAACGCTGTAACAAAAGAAAGATAAATTAAATAGAAAATTAGGAAAGGATTTCAGTAGGTAATTCATGGAAGCAGACCTCAAATGATAAATATACTTGAAAATATAATGTGTTGCCCGAATTCAAGGAAACAAAAAACTACAATAGACTTTCCTTTTGTATCTATAGATGAAAAGACTCTAAATCTACAGAAGGACGTAGAGAAAGAATTATCACAACCTGGTAACAGAACTGTGAATTAACACTACTGCTTTGGAGAACTACCTGACAGGAGCTAGGAAAGACAAGGTACAGACCTGACGGCCCAACAGTTCACAGACTGGGTATAAATCTCAGCAGCTTAGCCGGGCTTTAACGCGTGTGCAGTGAGAGTTACACACAGTCGCTCATGCAAGTAATGTATTTTCGAGGTATGTATATTAAATTGTATATACTGTCGATGCATGAAATTAAGGCGCATGAAAGACATTGTATGGGATTATATGACATAGACGCGCATGCAGTATAACAGTCATAGACGTGTGTGTGGCAGAAGGTGTAAGCTCTGAGGCTGGGAAGTAAGGGGGCTGGGAAGGGAACATGAGGGGTTCGGCTGAAGCTGGTTGCTGGGACCATGCATATTTATTACATTATTATTTATATTTTACGCATTTTCGTAGATGTGAAGTTTTTACAGTAAATGTTTAATGATAAATATTGATATTTGCATAAGTATTTTTAAACTAATAAAAATAAGAGTGGTATTGTGCTTGCCAGTGAAAATAAAACTTTCAAAAATTCAAGGAGAAATGGAGGGAGGAGAGAGGGAAAGGAAGGAATGAAAAAAGAATTACAATGTGTTATGTACATGTACCAGCTCCCCACAAGGAATGTAATCATTATCATGTACTAATAAAAAATAATACCCCCCCAAATTCGAGGAGACATCATTTCTTCCTTTTACTAATAATAAACTTGATTTTTTTAAATAGCACTGGGGATGGAACCCAAGGCCTTGTGCATGCTAGGAAAGCCACATCCCCAGCCAGATAACTTACTCGAATTGTATGCTAAAGTCTTTTAGTTGTTTCTAATGCTTCTGAAACTTTGTTCAGATGATTACAGGTGGAGGAATCACTAAATTTTTTTAACGGTTGTGTCAGTTAGTGTAAGGTCCCACAGTTAACTTACTAGACTCTCCAGAAAGGACCATTGCAGTAAACATGTCTGTTTCCATGTTGCTGCACACATGAGGAAACTGAGGCACAGAGATCAAGAAACTTTACTAAACGGCCGGGGATTTAGCTCAGTGGTTTCGCCGCCTGCTACGCAAGCACAAGGACCTGAGTTCAATCCTCGGTACCAAAAAAAAAAGAAACTTTACTAAGGACACACAACTGGTACAATGCACTAGGATTAGAACCCAAGGACTCTGGCTCTGAAGTCTGCTTTTAATATAACACTGACGATAAAGGACGGTAACATTTTATATTGCAGTATAAATAAAAGCTGTTCTAGAAATCTTAATGCAAAAGCTTTGTCTCATTGACTAATACTGACTGAACCCTAGACTTTGGCAGACTCAGAGGTTTCTGTTAAGGGCAATTAACCAAAGAGCCACCTCAGAAAGGCAGTACCCCAGGGGAGGCAGAAACTCAGAGTGGTTCCTACTGCCTTCACAGCCCTCTCCTCCACCCCTCGGGGACAGTTCTGTGTGGTGCTTTGGTGTGTGTGGGCGCAGTACCTGGCCATGCAGGCTGAACTCCAGCAGGAGGGCCCAGAGGTCCACAGCCGTGGTGGGGTGGCCCTGTGAGGCCCGCAGCTGCAGCTTGTGCCAGTAGCTTGCCAGACTCTGTGGAGAGAAGGCCCTCAGCTTGCTCTTGGCCATGTGCTTCCGGATGTGGCTGATGGGTCCCTGGAGGTCCTTCTGCGACCACTCTGGGTCCCCGTACAGGTGGGCCATCGCCCTGGGGGGGGAAGAGGAGTGTGACGGTGGAGGCTGGCTGTCCTCTCCTATGCCTTCCACCTGCATCTTCTCCCCAGACCAAGCTCCTGCTGCCTCCTGTGGAAACTGCCTCGGGATTTCTTTTCTCCATCCCTGCTGTCCAATACTACGTGTGAGTTGCACAGGTAGTGTTCATTTTCTTTGCGTTTTTTGGTGGTGCTGGGGATCAAGCTCAGGGCCTTGTTCATGCTAGGCAAGCGCTCTACTCCTGAGCTGCAGCCACAGCCTGGTATGGAATTTTGTATTTCCCAGCAGCCACAATAAAAAAGTATAAAGAAATCAGTAAGATAAATAAATAAATAAATAAATAAATAAAGGATAACCCAGAAAAAAAAGAAATCAGTAAGAATTAATTTTAATCATATATAGCATTTAATTCAAAACATCAAAAATATCATTTTGACATGTAATCACTATAAGTTATTGACATAATTTGTAGTTTTTCAAGCTAAGTCTTCAAAAATATGTTTATAACACATTGCAACTTGGACTGGCCACATTTTAAGGAGAGAGTAGCCACTATGGGTGGTGGCCGCCATACTGGACAGCACTAGATCCTACCCCCATCTTTGTGGGCCTGTCCTGAAGTCCCTAGGACTCTGTCAGCCGCTGTCACCTAAACGCCTCTGAGGAGTTTACTTCTCTCTCACTCTTTACAGTAACATTTCAACAGAACTCACAGGAATAAATCTCTACTAGTGAAATGGTCCACCTCATCATAAGCAATGCTGTCATTCGCTAAAATGGCAACTCCTGACCTCAGTTTCCTCTGTATTATAATAAGTAAGAAGAGAGCCACCTTGGGAAGTGTTATGAGCATTAACCAAGGTCATAACTATGACAGAAAAAAGAGTTACCAATCTGGAGCACCTTGTCAGTGCCGAGTGTTAGATGCTGACATGCACCCACATCTCAGGGGTGTTGCAGGACCAAGCCCAGCTCCCTCTAGACCAGCCACCTTCAGGGCAGTGACATTGGGAAAGGGACTCCTGCCCCCACTCCTGGAAGGAATACTGTTTCTGTCTTTCCTCCTTTGAGAAAGTTGCCTGACCCCCATCAGACCATCTGCTCACGTTGTTCCCAGGTGTCCCCATAGGCAGCTTCCCTCTGGTGTTCACTCCACTACCCTCCAGGCCTGGTTATCCTTGCTGCCCCAGTCCCGGGGGGCCTCACCACGTAGCACCCGAGATTCCACTCAGGTAGGTCACACAGTCCAGGAGGCCCAGCTTCTGCAGGGCCAGTAGGTGTCCGCAGAGAGAGGTCATGGCCCGGGCACCTCCTCCTTCCGCCATGATGCCCACAACAGGGACCTGGGCCAACAGACACAAGCTGACTTGACAGGGACAGAGACCCCAGGCTGCATCCTGCCCCCTGCCACCAGGGGCCTTCAGTTCAGAGCCTGATGGGGTCAGGGACATCCCTTAGCCGAGGTCAGATCCCCCAGGGACCAAGACCCCAAAGTGTACCTACATCCCATTTCTCCCTCCCCACCCCACCCTCTGTTGCCTGGATGTCTGGAGAGGGCACAGGAATCAGGGAGCCAGCTCCACCAGGCCGTTCTGGGCCCTCATGCACCCCCAGACCTCTTCCTCCTGCAGGTCTCTGTCCAGCTGCAGGGCCTGCTTCAGGGCCATGGCCACCACCTGCTTCCTCCTGCTCAGGAAGGCCTGCTCCTCCACACAGAGATCAAAGCCCAGGCGCACATCCAGCTCCTTAGGGCTGGGACAGAAGAGGACCCTGGGTCAGGGGCACCTGCATGGGTTAGTGCATGGCTGACCCCACCTGCAATGAGCTGCCAATAACCTCCCTGCTCCTACCCAAGAACCACCACATCACAGAATGCCCCTCTTGTGGATACCTTCACTGTCCCCACAGATAAGAATGTCCTTACCAGCTGTCTGCCTTGAGCTGCAGTCTCACTCCTGGGTCCTGAAATCAAAGCAAGAGACCATGGTCAGAATGCCCTCATCCTGAGGGACACGGGTCTCTCCTTGGACAAGTCTGTCTTTATTCTCACAGCTCTTCCCTGCAGTTGAGGCCACTCACATCTGTAGCAGGAACACAGATGGTCACCTCTCTCCCCCCGGCCAAGGACTGCAGGGGCACAGTAAAGTGCCCAGCTGAGCTGTCTGTGTTCCAACCGCTGCTTCTGGAGCTCTAGAGGGAAACATTCATTCCTTCATTCAACAAGCACGAGGGCGGGGATTTAGCTCAGTGGCAACGAGTCTGCCTCACAAGTGCAAGGTCCTGAGTTTGATCCCTGGTACCGAAAAAAACCCCAACAAACCAACAAAAAACAAGTGCTTACTGAGCATGAGTCACAATCCCTCCCCATTAATGTGAAACTAATAACAATTAGATTACTAACGATTACAAAATAATAATGGCCAGTACTGGTTTAGTGCAAAGGTGTTCCTTCTGATCGCTTCATACAGCTATAAACATGTAATGAAGTCATGTTGGGGGGACACCAGCCATGCTGCAGAATAGGCATGGCAGTGGGAAGCACTCTCAGAAGGAGCTGGTGGAGGACAGGGAGAGCAGCTGGCATGAGGTAAAGCAAGAGGACCTAAGAGCAGGCAGAGCATGAGCAAGGGGGTGTGGCACAGGAGACAGCAGAGGTGGCAAAGGGCAGGCCATGCAGTGCCTCGTGGGCACCAATGTTGCAGGAGCCACCAGAGGTTCAAACCAAGACCCTCATGGTGTAGCAGCCCCTGCTGATCCTCTCTGTCTTCCGGGCAGTGGTGCTTAAGTGAGGGAAGCTGAGGAGGCTACAGGAGGCCTGGCCTTGGCAGGAGGAGGCAGGGAGGGCTCTGCCACCGCTGTGTTTGCTAAAAGAGGCCAGGAGAGCTGGTGAGCAGACACACCTTCAGGCGCCCATGCAGCTCTGTGTCCTGGGCTGCCAGGTAATGGAAGCGGAAGGCAGAGGCTGTGCCCAGGGCAGACGTCTGCGTGTCTTCAAAGGACCCCTTCAGCACCAGCTCCAGCTCCAGCTTGCCCCAGTCTAGGGAGATAGTGGGCAGGTGGGCAGGCCTGGGAAACCAGCAGTAAAGCTGGACAGAGGCCAGGCAGGCTGGACCGTGGTAAGCAGGATTCTAAGAGTCCCCCCCAGCTCCCCGGGACTCCCACTTCCCAGGTCAGGGATACCCCTGCCTTTCTTACCTGCTCCCCCAGGGGTGCTCCCTGCTCTGTCCAGATGGACGTCCAGGCGTGACAGCTCCCGGGCCTGGGGCAGACCGTGGTGTTGACCGTGCAGTCAGCTGGGACCACCTCAGCCTCGACCCTCAGGCCCCTCTGTCCCAAATCCACCACATGCAGAACAGGATGTGGGGACCAGAGAAGGATTGTGTGTAGAAGCCTTCTCCCCACTTGTCTGCTGCAGCTGCCCATCCTGATGTTGGGGCTCCAGGAGGCCCCATCTCCACCACCAACCCCGTTGTCCCGCCCTTACTGACCTCTCAAGCACAGCCCCTTCTCTGTCGTGATCGTGGGGTGGCTCCAACTGCAGTGACTACAGCGCATGCAAATCACAGGCCCCAGGTGACAGAACAGGGCATGGGAGAAACCATGAACGTGGCAGGGGACGGAGCGCCTTCTAACTGTCCTCCCCCATGTTCCCCAGCCTCTGCATTCTCCCTGCGGCTGCCGACTCCACACAACTGCTCAATTTATCAGCCCACTGCAGGGCTCTGGTGCTACAGGGAAGGGGCAGCTGCCATAGATGGGTGTGTGTGTGTGTGTGCGTGTGTGCACGTGTGTGTTGTGTGTATGAGTGTGTGTGTTACTGGGGGTTGAGCCTAGGGCCTTTGCACTGAGCTACATCTCTATTCCTTTTTTAAAAAAGTTTTTGAGACAAAGTCTTGCTTAGTACCTAAGTTGTCCAGGATGGGCTAGAACTTACAATCCGCCTGCCTCAGCCTCCCAGAGTGCTGGAATTATGGGCACCACCTTGCCCACCTGACTTAATTTGCATGTGTATTCTTTTTTTTTTTTTTGGTACAGGGGATCGAACTCAAGACCTTGTGCTTGAGAGGCAGGTGGCAGAACCACTGAGCTAAATCTCCGGCCCTTGCCTCTTCATGTGTATTCTTTTAAGAAGTAAGCTATCCCATCAAGCCCGCGCTTGTCCGGTCAGGAGAGTGAGCAGCTCCTTAGATGGGTGCTCTAGATGCCTCCTCGGCTGACCTGGGCCCCCACAGCTTCCACGGTGGGTCTGCTGGTCTGCACTGACAACGTTTCTCGTGTAGCATGCGCTGCCTTGTGGCCCTTCCTTCCACTGCAGCTTGCGGCTTTGGTCTTGAGACCAGGACCCCTTATGGTTCAGAGGAAGAGCAGATTGACCTGATTCTGTCGCCTACCGCACTGAAAACTCCCTCAGCACTGGCAGCTCGAAGGTGGGCCTGGCCTGCCAAGCTTCACCATGACTTCACAACTCCAGGGAAGAACTCAGCTCCTCACACATGACCAAGCCCCATCAGGGAGCACCTGACGTTCCCAACTGTCCTTCAGCCATGCAGCCTCAGACCGCCTCTCACCAGAACCTTTCTCTCCTGTGGCCCTTACTCCAGCACCACGCCCCCATCCCTCTGCTCTGGGTCCTGCCCCTGAGGCTGGGAAGGTGGTTACCACGAGGACATTGTTGGTGATCAGGTATTCTGGAGGGCCGGGCCTAGAAAAATAAAACCACTTATTTGGTCTGGCAGCAGCGTTCTGCACTAAGCTGCCCCTGGTGGCCAAGGGTCCTGCCCACCTGCAGCCTCCCTGGGTGATGCTGAGGGATCTCATGTCCTGGCTAAGGGTTGGGGGAGAGGGAGAACCTCTGCAGAATGGAAGGGGAGAAGAGAGCAGGGCAGGGGAAAGATTGGCCTTCCTCCCTCGACTCTCCCTGAGGACCCCAGACCTCTCTGGCAGGGGTGGATGAGAGACAGGACTCTCAGTTGGACAGAACAACACAACATGTGGGTCAGGGCTATTTTCCTGAGCACAGCCTGGCTACCTGGTCACTCCCTGGGCTGCACGACATTACTCATGTGTAAATGTGAGTAAATGTGACATTACTCACGTTTCTTCTACTAGGAACTCCACGTCCAGCTCTTCCTGTCCCTGAGATCAAAGAGGATGAGCCAGTCATCAACATTGACAGTTGACACATGTTATTGTCTGGATCAAAAATGTCAAGTGCCTCCCCCCACCACCACATGGTCCAAATGTTCAGATGTGGGGCTGTGGATGGTGATTGGATCATGGCGACTCAAACCTCAGCAACGATCGATCCGTTGATGATTTCCTAGCTGAATGTGCTGCAAGGAGGTGAAGATCAGTTGGAGGAAGTAGGTCACTGAGTGTGATCTGGAAGAGCAGATCCAGTCCCTGGCCCCTTCTTTCTGACTCTTCCTTGCTCTCTTTCTTTTCTGGCTGCCATGAGGTGAGTGCTTTCCTCTGCCCTGGATTTCTACCCTAATGTTTCTGCCTTGGATCCAACCAACCATGGACTAAAACTTCTGAAACCGTGAGCTCAAATAAACCTCTCTTCCCTTAAATTGTATATGTGGCAGGTATTTTGTCTCGGCAATGAAGATCTCATGGACAGAACACTGTTCTTTTACATGCCTTATGATTGCAACTTATTTTTAAGGGGACCATACTGCTATAATTATTTCCCTTTTACAAATGAGGAAGCTGAAGAGAGGTCAAGGATAACAACCCCACACTACTCCAGCTGGCAATTCTGCAGAGAACAGCTCTCCCTCCCTCCTAGCTCCCCAAGCCCCAGGCCAGGCTGAAGGTGTAGACAAAGTGCTGAATGAAAGAAGACTGGACGATCCCGGGCCCTGTCTTCTCCCTTTGAAGAGGACCCAAGCTCCTTCACTCTGCCTTCCCGAACCCTTGCCCACAGCAGGAAAAGCTCAAGACCTTCACAGAGCAGGCCTGGGCTCCATGAGCTGGAAAGCCCACACCTCTGAGGGGTTGCTATGTCCCAAAGGATGCTAAGAAGTTCTCCACCTCCCAGGCCTTCATCCCTTGGTGACTAAAGCTCCTGAACTGAGTGGTGCGTCTGGAGCTGCATGGGTGAGCTGGCTCCTTTCCTACTAACATGCAAATCTCTTTGGGAAGGGTCCCAGCTTTCTTAGGATCCCTTCAACCTAGCAGCATCCCAGAAGATGGAGCAATTGAGCCCTTCCTCAGCCTGGAGCTGAACCAGGTGGACCCGTGGGGACATCCCCACCCACCTGGGGACCCAGGAAGAAGGTTTTCTGGAGCAGCTTGCCAGGAAGGACTTCTGAGATGTCATAGAAAACCTTGAAGCAGATGTCATCCTTTGTAATTAAATCTTCGTCATAGATGCCCAGCTCCAGAACATTCTAGGGGCCAAGAACATCAACTTAGCATATTATCTTCTCATGGGAACCACAGATCATGAACAACTGTGAAACTTAAAAGTATAAAGAAATCCAGCAGCCAGGGATGATAGCCCACGCCTATAATTCCAGCACTCAGGAGGCTGAGACAGGAGGACCACTGAGTTCGAGGCCAGCCTGGGCTACGTAGTGAGACCCTGACTCAAAAAAGAAAAGAAAAGAAAAGAAATTTAATAAAGTCCCTAATTTTCCCCTCTTGACTTTTATTTTTGTCAAAAATAAATTTCTGTCCAAGAGCACTGCCCAGCCTTACTGGCTTCCTGAGGCACGCCCCAAGACAAGTGTGGGGCCTTCTGTGAGGTCTGTGCTCATCTCCTTGTCACAGGTAGGTTTAGAAAGGAGCAGCAGCTTCTGGAGGTCACACATTCTCTCACACGGGCTGAGGTACAACGCGTGCTGAGTGTTGACCGAGTCCTGAAGGACGTGTGCTCTGTCCCCAGGCCCTGGAGTGGGGACGGCCTGTCTGTGAGCAGCCAAGGTGCCCAGCCTTTACCTTGACCCGACTCTGGATGAGGAAACTGAAGGTCTCATTCCACACAGGATGGCTGGAGTTGGAGACCGTTTTGGTCCTGAACTTCATCCCAGGAGAGGTTGGCAGCTGCAGGATCACATACGGGTCGGCCTCACTCACTGCCAAAGTCAAGGGACCATCAGGAGGGAGAGAACCTACTAGCCTCCCCAGGACCCTACCGTGAACAGCCCGGCCCAGTCCCGAGGCACTGCTGGGCCTCTGCCCTGGAACCCATCCCCTTGCACCCTCTGGAGCCAGGGGACAGCCACTTACACAAGTCAACCCGGTGTAGTCTCCACGCCTCCAGGACCCGCACGGTGAGCCGCCAGCAGGCAGAGGCCTCCCCCTGGACAGAAAGGTCAGATTGCTGCTGGGTTCCCACTCATGCTGCTACCTACACCGAGAGCTGCCACGCAGCCTGATTCCACGGCTGCTGCGACACCCTCCAAGGACCACGTAATGTTTGTCTACCACTACCCTTGAGGTCATGGGTTCGGCTGCAGCAGATAGGGCCTGGCAGGACACGTGGGGGCAGTTTGTGGGATTCCCTTTCTTTCAAGTGAGACAGGAGAGAAGGGGCAGATGCTCCCCAAAGGAACTTTTTATTTCTCTCCTGCAGCTGCTTCAAACACCTTGCAGACCTCCCCGCTACCTCGGGCACCCCACAACCGCTCAGGAGGCCACTGCTGTGGCTGCAGCAAGCTTCAGATGTGGACGCATCACTGATGACTCTGCCCTGCAGCCTCTCTGGATGACTCCATCCCTCTGCACCCTCCTCGGTTAGGTCCATGGGGCAGGCACTCCTCCCCTACCAGGGAGCGTGTAAGTCCGATAATGTGCGTTTATAGGCCTGCCTGTTTCCCTATGTAAGCAAACTCGCCGTATCTTTAAAGGGTCAGTCCGTGCACAGCTCCCCCTTATTCTGCAGCATGAGTCCAAATAAAGCCTCATGGATGGCTTTTTTTTTTTTGCCTAATCATGATTTTTGTCTTGATCACAGCATGCTGAACTGCTACACTAAGAGCTGATAGCACCAAAGGCTCTCAGTGCCCTAAACAGCCAGCAGCCAGGGCTGGCAACACTGGAGGCAGCTAGCAGCAGAGAACAGCAATGAAGAATTGCTGGGAGCCACCATCTGCAGTGGCCAGAAGAGTTCCCAAGGCCTGCCAGGAGCACTTGCTCCAAGTGGCCAGGCGGGTCACTAACTACACTACACGCTGAGAGCTGCTGGCATTCAGAGCTCAAGACTGTGAACCCTGAGAGAGTGGCACTTCCTCCATCTGTGAATTCTATGCAAATTAAATGAGAACCCCCAGCCACTCGGTAACATCTTGGAAGCCCATAAGGGAACTCTACCCCAAAGAAGAGGACAGATGATAGCAATGGTTGTCAGCCATGCAGAAGCAGCTCAAACCTAGCCCACATCTGACTTCCACCGTACACACAGCTGAACAGCCACACCACCCCATGGTACAGGGACAGGACTGCAAGTGCAGAAAACAAAGCAAGGAATGGAGGCCTGAGGAGCAGCCACCTCGCTGCTCAGTTTAGGGCTGGCCAAACCCAGAGCTCCCAGGGAGAGCAGCCCTTTGGTGAAACAGGTGACCTTCCTCCTAGAGAACTACCCTCACCCTCTGGAGATGAAGAACCCATGTCACAAGGGAGGCTGAGCCCTGGGGAACCCAGTGACCTGTGATGTCCACAGGTACCAAACTGGAGCTTGACCCATACGTGCTTTCTTGGGCAAGAATCAGTCAAATCCAAGAGCATCAGGCTGGCACAGTAAGCAGAGAGTGAAAGATCATCACTGTCATGAAGCCACCCAGGGCCTGAGGCAAGCTTGAGTAATGAGGAAGAAGGAACTGAGTGGGCCGAGCTCAGAGGGTAGAGAAAATGAGCAGTGGGTGAGTGGCAGGAGGAAAAGAAGAGGAAAGCAGGGCTGTATTGTTGGGGACAGGGCAGGCACCAGGGGACTCCATAGCCAGGCTGTCTGGATCGAAGCCCTGGCACTGCTACTTACTCACAGGGTGATCCTGAACTCCCTCATTTTCTCATCTGTAGTGGGGTAACAACAGTAGTGGTCTAACAAAGTGTTCTAAGACTCAATTTTAATGCCTTGCAGTATGCTTAGAAGAGTGCTTAGCAAAACAGTAGGCAGGTTCTAGGTAACTGCCCTTGTATTTATGAAGTGCTCGGTGTATTTCTAGCTGCTATACCAAGCATATCCCATGTGTTCACTTCTTTTGGCCCCTACAGCTTCATAAAATAGTGCTTGCATTTCCTTCCATTTCCCAGGTGAGAGAAATGGGGCTTGGAAAGGTTGACTTGCTCAAGATCACAGACTGAGTAGGTGACAAAGTTAGGATTCAAACTTTAAGGCCAGAGCTCATAAATCCTGTGCTACTTACCTTCCTGGGACTTTCCTTCTTTGTAAAAGCACAAATTTCCCCCATTGCCCCCTGAGAATCTAGATGCTAGAATCTTCTAGACTCATTTTTGACTAATGTGACTGTCAAGCTAACATTAATCAACACAATTCTGGGCCAGGGATTTACTTCACTGGTTCTGCCACCTGCCTCGAAAGCACAAGGTCCTGAGTTCAATCCCTGGTACCAAAAAAACAAAACAAAACAAAAACAAAACACAATTCCTTTCTGAGAGGGCTCTGGAGCCTCCTGTCTGGAATACCGGGTGTTCCTCCGCCAGCCTCTCCTGCAGATCCCGGGAGTGCCCCCTGGTGAAGGTCTCAGCCCCTCTCTCACTCCTGCACAGGGATCCTGGGGCCTTTGCCCTCCTCCTCCTGTGCAGGGCCCAGGGCCCATGTTTTCCAGGAAGTTTTGTGAACAGCTCAATGCTGGCCCTGCCTGTGGAGAAGCTGAGCCCCCAGACTGGGCTTCAGAGTACCTGTGACCATGAGCCTGGGTCTTTAGTGGGAAGACAGAAGGAGCAACCCCACTCTTACTGGCTCCCAAGAACTGTGGTGGTTACATGGGAGAGGCTGGAGAGGGGAAGACAGAATCTATGGTCAGAGCCTCAGACCCTGTACCCTCCTGGGTCAAGCTGAGCTGGTGCCCACAGACTACGCAGAGGAACATCCCAGAGCTTGCTGCCCTGCCAGCAGAGCTCCTGCCACTGTGTGGGCTCTGGGCACCCATTCCAAAAGAAGAGAGGTGCTGAAGCATCTGCTGGGGTCCTCACTACAAGACCAGAATTGAAGCCTGGGAGTCATGGACCCAGTCTTAGGGACCCAGTCCTAGGAACACTGTCCAGAAGTGAGGTGCCTCCCAGGTGTGGGGCAGACTCAGGCTCCCAAATCCTGGACCTTGGGCCTTTGTTTCATCACTGAGACTGGACCCAGAGCAGACAGAGGGAGGAAGGGAAAGGGTACCCAGCCTTCAGCAAGGAGATGAACTGGAAGAGATGTATTCCAGAAAACCCCAACGCTGGCCATTCTGGGATGGGGGACTCCTGATGGGAGGCAGAGATGGAGCTGAGGCTGGCTGACCCTTCCACCTCCTGCAGCCTCCATTTCCCCCAGAACCCCATCAGGACATTTCCACTCATGGCTGATATAGGGATGGGTCCTCCTGACCTCAGGTTGGGGCAATAGCCATTGTCCTTCAATGGGGGTTCCTCTTTATCTCCCCTAGGTTCCTTGGGGTACAGTCTACCCCAACCACATCTTTTCCAGTCTGGAGCTGCTTGTCTGAATGCAGCTCAGGCCTGGATCTCAGGACCAAGGCAAGAAGAAGCCTATCGAGGGCCATGAATGAGGCAGAGGACCTTGGGCAGTGACCTTGGTGTATTTGACCTGCTCGTGGCAACTGTCTGGAGCATCAGGGGACATCTGAGGAGCCAGTCCTGTTGGCCTTGGTCTCTGGCAAAAGAAGAGGAGTCTGGGCTGAGAGCAAGTGCATGGCAGGTGGGCAAGCAGTTTACCCTTGGGCCTCATAAGTAACTGGCAGTCCAGGGGACTTGGGCTCCCTGAGATCCCGAGCACATGGGGCGAACCTGGGGCTCAGGTCAGATCCGGAAGTCCACTGCCTGGGCCTGGTGGGTCTCCACTGAGACAGAAGGCTTTGGGGAAAGGGAGGGGCCCCTAGGGCTACTGCCTGGTCTCCCATGGTAAAGAAGGGAGGCTCTGCTGACCAGGCTCTGCACCCCAAGCCCTAGTTTCTATGGGTGTTGCTCCCCAAGCTCAGACACCCCTGCCACGCAGAGAACCACCATGATTTCAGCTGTGTGAAGCCTCTCAGAACACTCTGTTCCCTGACCCTCCATTCTGTCCCATGGGCTCAGCAGATGCTGTTACCTTGTGCAGATGGCCAGGTGATCTCTTAGGTGACAGGTTTTCCATGCCCAGTTCCCACCAAGATACCAGCTTTCTAGCCAGGCGACAGTGAATGTCCTGACCAACTTCGAATCTGCTAGCCTCACAGGTGCCACAATCCTATAAACAGGTTGGACTCCACCCCTACATCACTTCTCCTCTTCCTCAAGAGGCTGGGTCAACCAGCATCTCCAGAAACCTCTCCCAGGGCCCCAGGGCCCTGGCACACTTCCAGGCCTGTACTGTCAGGACAGATCCAGCCATGGCAGGTGGACACATCCCAAGATCAGTGGCAGGAAGCCAGTAGCTCTAGACTGAGGACAGAGGATTGGGTACCAGGCAAAGCTGAGGAGAGCCCTGTGGTCCAGCCCCATCTGTGTCAGGCCAGCCCCCAAGAGAGGAGCACCTGAAACTCAGCAGGAGGCCTGACCCCTTGGCTGCTCCCTGAAGCCAGGAACCCAGGTTACAGTAATGAGAGCAGTGTGTCCTGCTCACCTGCTGCAAAGGAGTCTGGACCCCTCTGCTTACAGGCTCCCCTGTCCACCCCAGCCACACCCTCCTGTGCAGCAGAGCCTGGGAATCTGAGGGACTACTACTAGAAGTGAATGGCAGATTTGGTAAAAAAAGAAAGACAAAGGACACCAATCTGAAAACCCTGATTATGAACATTAGAGAAGAAAACTGTGAAGCCACCAAACTATTCAGTGTACACATGGCCCTAAATGTTGTCTCGTAATGACACAAATTCAGTTGTTTTACTGACAGTTCATCACAGAACTGAACAATGATGATTTGTTTTCTGAAGCAAATGAAACTAGATTAATGTCGAATTATTACAAATAAGTCTGAAATGTGTTATTACAGAATCTGCCGAAACAGAACATTGAGACTGGTTTATGAACAAGTAAAAACTGAATGAATGGGAAATACTTCTAACTTGCATGCACCAGATGTAAGTGTAAAATGTAGAAAGCTGCAAAGAATAACCTATTCCAAAGTTAGCCCTAGATGACACAATGCAATGAATCTTCAAAAGCCACCGTGTGCTGCACACCTTACAGCTCAGACTCACCCTGCTGCAAGTGTCTCATAGAGATGGCAGACACTAAGAGTGGGGAGCTGCAGATGGGGAGAGGGCACAGAAGGGTCAAGGTCAGGACAAAGAGACAGACAGGTGGGGTGATCTGGAGAGGCTTGCCCAGCCAGAGGGCTCCAGAGCCGACCTGACCCATGCTGCCAAGCTGAAGGTCTTGGGCACCCATCTGTCCCTGTCTGTATATTTTCCCTTTTGCTGTCTTCCTTTCTTCATCCTCTTTTCTCGAAGTTTGCTCTATGCTCACAGTAAATGGACTTCTGGTTTTCCACTCAGCATTCACAGTTTCTTGAAGTTCTCAAATTTCTTCTGGGCAACCAGCCCTCTCCCTACGCTGTGGCCCCATGGTTTAGGGGTTATTGACTCCACCTCTAGCTTCAAGAATGCATCAGGTGGCCCAAGGCTGGGTCATCAGCTTGTGGAATCACCCTGATTGTGGCGTGGGGTTCACTAGAATCACTACCCACTGGAGAGCCATCAAATCCCGGTGAGCGAAGTTCTGGAAGAGACGTGTTGTTTTTCTGTCTGGACAGAGCCTGGGGGGAGGTGAAATTAGAGCTGCTGAAGCAGCCACCACAAGAGAAGGAACAACCAGGAAATGGAGCCAATAACAACAGTGAGCACTTCTGCCAGGCAGAGGGGCTCGCTGTGGAGCTGAGCAGGCTGCAGCTGCGCCATCCTCTGGCACTTGCATCTCAGGGCTGGAGAGGAGCCCTTGCAAGGGGTTCTTGTGACATAGTTTTAGTAACATTTGCAAAAGTCACCTATTTTATCCACAGCTGGTTAAGACTGTTGTCTTCCCAATTCCTCCATCTCTCTTAGCAATGGATATCTTCAGGATCTGGTTAAGGAGATCCTTCTAATGTCACCTGAGTGAGATAGGTTGATGTAGTCTGCAGTCAGTTTCCATGGAGAGCGAAGCCATTGCTAGATGTGAGGTTTAGGAATACTTTTCAGAAGTACTCCCACCGCCCACTGTGCTGACTCACCTGGCGTTGTGACATAAAAGGACAAGGGCAGACATTACACTGTGGTGTGGACATGACCTTTGGTATCAGAAGAACTGGGTACAGGAAGAGAAACAAACTCTGAAATGTAGAGTCAGAAACCAGTCTGTGGAAAATTCATCCAAACAGACACAAAAAATTGTGACTGGAAGGTTTAGTTTTCATTGGCACCTGATCAAAACAGAAATTCTTTAAAAAACAAAAAGAGTAGAAGGAGAGTGTGTGAGGCCCTGGGTTTGATTTCCCAGCACCAGAAACAAAACAAAATAGAAAGCAGAACTTCTGCCCTGAAAAGGATGTTTTCAGTTATATCTTGAATGTATTTTTTCCTTTATTTGATGGAATTACATTTATCAGCGAGGCATAGTGGTGCATTTATCAGGATTTATCAGCTGGGCATGGTAGTGCATGCCTGTAATCCAAGCACTCTGGAAGACTGAGGCAGGAGGATCACAAATTCCAGCCCAACTCGGGCAATTTAGTAACTTAGCGAGATGCTATCTCAAATTTTAGATAAATAAAAATTTAAGAAAAGGGCTAAGGATATAGCCCAATGCAAAGACCCTGGGCTTAATCCCCAGAGTACCACACACACACAAACACACACACACACACACACACACACACACACACACACGAATTTATCATAATTCTTGCACTGAAAGTAGCTAGCATACCTACAAAGTTTATGAGTGAGAAAAACTTGCTAGAGGTCATGGAAGATTTTATTTTCCAAAAATGGTTGCCCCAAAAAATGGTTGCCAAGAAAAGTAGCCACATCTGCTTTCTATGATCTTCTATAACCTTCTAGAAGCACTTCCTCATCAAGAGGTAGAAGGCAATTCTCCTCTTCAGTCTGGTGGATCTGTGATGGCCTCACAATTTACAGTATGTGGGGAAAGTGATGCCGTTTGACCCCTGAAGTGAGATCATAGGTGGATGCAGCTTCCTTTTTGTGTACCTGGAGCACTCTCACCCTAAGGCCTTTAAGGATCCAGCTCAAGGCCACATGCTGTGAGACTGCCATGCCACAAGGACAGCCCCCAGTCAGCACTGGAGCCAGCAGTCTTAGCCATTCCAGACTTCAAGTGATGTCGGCCACAGCCATTGTCACCCCCAACTTGTGCCTATTCTTAATTTCTGACTCAGAGTCTGTGAGCCGCACTGGGTGGTTGCTGTGTAGAGCCATTTAGGTTTTGGGTGGTCCTTTACATAGCCACAGTAAGTAATTCAGAGGTTTTCCCAATTTGCTAACAATTCTAAAATGTTATATGATATTACCAGTGAAGAAGAAAGAAGTTATCAGTAATTAACTATTATTAACTATCAATAATTTAAAAAATTTTATCAACCAAACTGAAGGAAAGATAGCTATTTGCACTAAAGAAAGCGGTATTACAAAATTGGTGTGGTGTACATGTAGCCTTAAGACTATGAACCCTAACAAGGAAGGAAGAGGGGAAATCGAGAAGGGAATCTGGCTGTTGATTAGTACAAGTACCATGGTGTTTTTTTCATTTTGTTTTGCAATGCTCTGGTATTTTTCAGCTTTTTAAAAATGTGTAATTTATGTGATTTCATTGTTCTAAATAAATACTCACTTTCATGCCTAATTTGGTATCGACCTGTATAAACTTCAGGCTCCATAGAACATAGCCTTTGTGCTGCAATGTTTACAGCATTTTCTATATAGAACATCTTTAATCATCTGCCAAGCTGGGTAAAGCAATTACCTTTATTGTGCTCATTCTACAAGTGAGAAAACTGAGGCAGGAATTGGTTGAAGAATCACCCCACATCACCCAAAAATCTACCCCAAAGGCAGTGCTCTTACCCACACATGCAAGGTGACTTCCCCAGAGACAGAGTGGGCAAGAGGGGCTGCCAGAGAGTCCCTGACCGAGCCTTGCCTGAAGAGGGAGAGCTGGCGCTGAGCTTTCCAGCTGGGTGCCAGCTCCCACCCACTAACTTTAACTCCAGGAGAGAGGCTCAGCGACTCCCCGAGAGCAGCACTCAGTGACAGTGTCACAGAGGAAAAGCAGCAGCTGACAGAGTTGGAAGAGGAGGGGCAGTGACGCCTGGCTGAGTCTCAATTTCAGGCAAATGCCATGAAGCAGACAGGTGGGGGCTGTGTTGCAAGATGGCGCAAGCCAGGGGTGACACATGCTGCCGTGTTCCTATTCACTGTCCAGGCTCAACACACAAGCAGGTCCGTGCACTTGCCTCAGAGGAAGTAGTTACTCACTGTACTGTCAAGTGAGAAAGGACATTTCCTGTCCAGAAAGGTCATCCAGCCCCTACCTCATGCTAGAGCTGCTAGAAGTGATGAGCTTCTCTCTGAGCGAGGGGCAGGAGACCACTTGGCCAAGCCCAGCCGCTGACTTGACAAGGATTTTCTGAGCATCTACTATGTACCAGACAGAGAGCCAGGGAGTAAAACAGGGAGTTTCCGCCTGGCGGCATCCAACCCACCATCTACTCCTTGTGTCTCAGCCTGGGGAGATGCCAATGCCTTGGAACCTGGGATATCACTTGCAGGCCCATGTGGGGACAGGTATCTCATCCAGAGCATTCAAGGAAAATAGCCACAAAAGAGCTGTAAATGGATGTCACCTGGCTAATGCTTCTGTTCAGAGGCAGTGTAGCGGGTGTGTGAGCTTTCGGGTGTGAGGGGGAAGCATGTCTCACAAGCTGTACGCAGCCACCCTCGGTCACAAAGGACTGGGAAATCATAATGAGACTGAACCATTCAGCAGCAACAAAGGATCTTAGAAGGCAATGGAAACATTTTTTGAAAATTATAATAAAAAGTGATTTGCAATTTATTTGTTTGGTTTTGTTTTGGTATCAGGGATCGAACTCGGGTCCTTGTGCTTGCGCAGCAGGTGGCAAAACCACTGAGCTAAATCCCCGGCCCTGCAATTTATAATTTTATTCACAAACAGTCAAAAGCCAGGCATGATGGCGTATGCCTGTAATCCTGGAGGATCACCTCGA